CGGGCGGGCGGGTGAGTGAGTGGGTTTCGACAGTTCTGTAAACACCCGCGAGGAAAAGCCAAGTGAGGCCGAGGGGAAGAGGAGGCGAGGGCCCTGCGGCTTACACCTCACTAAGAGCGGGATTGACATGTGCCTCTCAGTTTGCTTTGGGAATCAGAGGGCGCCGGTCGTGCGCCGGGAGAGGGGTGCGTTGCACGCTAAGGTGTCTCTCTGCAGCGCGCGTCTCCCCCACCACACGTCTCACCCGAGAAAGACCGAAAACCTGCGGCCGCCATGCTGCCGTGTGATTTCTCTCCATTTTCCCTGCTTCTCATTCATTCCGCCCAGCCCTCGGCCCTACTCTTTTTTCGTGCTGCTTTTGGCTTGCTTTGGCGGCGGTGTTGGTAGTGGCGCTGGTGGTGACTTAGTCTTGTCACGTCCTGCCCACCCCCCTTTTTGGCCCTTTTTCCTCCTTTTCTCAATGCTAGAGAGCCCTTGCCGCCGAAGGTGTGTGGGTGAGTGAGAGGGAGACGAGCTCTTGGCGCTAGCGAGAGGGCCCAGAGAGAGAGAGAGAGAGAGAGAGAGAGAGAGGAGAGAATGTGTACACGTAGGTAGGCGTGCGTGCGAGTGTGTTGACTCCGTCAGCGCCTCGTGTGTATCGAGCTCCGTCCTCTCTGGAGAGAAAGGGAGGAAAAATTCTTTTGTGCCTGTGACCTCTCGGCTGCTCCACCCCCGCTGCCAAACCTGCCCATGACCTGCCCCGCCGCGCCCACCCCTGCTCGGGGTGTCCTATGTTCTGCCGCCGCGGTGATGTGCGCCTCGCCGCTGTTGTCTGTCGGTCAGAGTGTCAGATCGATCAATCGAAGTGATCAAAGGTCTGGCGTGCGGCGCCATCGACCAGCAGGTCCCGGTCGCCGACACCGCCGGGGTGACGTGCTGACGCCGTCCGGAAATAGAGCAGGGGAAATAATAAAACGGGATAAGAAGAGCGATGCGATGTGCATCTAGTGAAATGATAATGATGTTGCGGCGAGCTGAAGCGAGCGGCGTCGGGGCGGCGACGCACTCGGTCTCAGGTGGGTCTGGGGGCGCCGTCTGCTGCTTGGCACCACAACTCCCTCGGGACGGGGCTCAGGAGTGGCTGCCCTGCGCCACCCCGCCAGTGCACCCCCCCTCCCCCCTTTTCCCCTTTCGATATCGAGCTCTGGCGCGGCGCGGCATGGAGCTCGCCGTGTGCCAACAAGACTTCCGCTAGTAGACCAATTTCCGAAGCTCCCCTCCCCCTCTCTCTCTCTCTCTCTCTCTTCCCCTTCGCATCCCGGCCCGTCTTGGCGCCAGCGCTGTCAGCAGCTTCCGAGGGACGGCAGGGCCGGGGCGCAGCTCGGCGCGGCTCGGCGGGGGCACTCCATTTCCTCCTCCTCTGCTCTGTTGTTGTCTGGCGCTCTGGACAATGGACTGGTGGCGTTCGGTTCCGTTTGTTTATCCGTGGTATTTCTGGCCCGAGTATTAACCCAGCAGCGCCGCGTTACCCGAGGCGCCGCCCCCGCACCGCCCAGGTCCCCCGGTGCGCCCCCCTCTAGGCCCTCGAACAGCCCCCGCTGGGCCCGTGCCAGTCACTGGGAGTGCATTCCGCGCGAGGTTCGAACGCAGCCGGCATGGCTCTCGAGCAGGGCCGTTTTTCTGTTCGGCGAGTCGATTTCTATCTATTTATCCGGTCCGCCTTGCCCCGCCCCGCCCCGCCCCGCTCCCGCCGCGTAGAAAGCGTCGCCTTATGGCTTTGGGTTCCGGGCCGTTGGTCGTCTTGCGGTCAGGCCCGCCCGCTATGCTGTGAGCGCCGTGCCTAAGTAGCCGGCCATTCCGAGCTTTGCTTTCACCCATTCAATAGTAATTACCCACAAGCGGGTATCGCGGCGGGGCGCGGTGCATCGGGAGTCCCCGGCCGGCCGGCCCGTCCCCGGAGCCGCCGCGCCCCGCCCGCGACGGGCCTCGGCCCGGGCCACTGACCCTGCGGGGCGCGGCGGGGCGCGGCGGCGGCTGCACGGTAGCCGCGGCCGTGGCGGTGTCGCAGCCCCGCCCCGCGGTGAAAGGGGCTGTTCTGCCTCGGGGATCCCCCGGGCCACGCGCATGAATGGCTGCAGTCGCGGCCGGCGACCCGACCTCGGACAGGCCTGTGCCGTTGCCGTGCGCGCCCAGGTCCTCGCCCAAACAGAATGGCAGGTGCTCTCGGCACGTCGTCCTAGGCGGCGGCCGTTGACGGGGCTCCATTCCGTATTCCGGCGGAGGTTTGTGACGCGCGTATGGAGCGCGGTGTGCACCGCGATAGGATGGGGATTTCGGCCGGTGCGCGGCGTCTGCGGCCTGCCCGAGGCTAGCAGAGAAAAGGAGAGACTGCTCGGGTTTTACGTCAGAGACGCTCTCCGCTATGCCCTTCCCCCTCTGCCAGGGTACCCCCCCCC